CTTCTTCTTCTTCTTCTTCTTCTTCTTCTTCTTCTTCTTCTTCTTCTCCTCCTCCTCCTCCTCCTCCTCCTCCTCCTCTTCCTCTTCCTCTTCCTCTTCCTCTTCCTCTTCCTCCTCCTCCTTTCCTTTTACCCAAGGAAGGCAATGGGATGGTTCTTGGATAATCACCGGTTTTCTAAGCATTTCTCTTCTTCTGTTACTAGCTGCTAAATGTCTATGGAGATTCTCAGTCACCCAGGTCACAATTGTCTCAAAAGGGCTTTTTCAAAAGGCAACTGGACATTCTTTGTTTTTCCTTGAAGACGTTTCGCTTCTCAACCAAGAAGCTTCTTCGGTTCTCCACCATTCAGTCAGAACAGAAGAAACTTCTCGGATGAGAAGTGGAATGCCTTCAAGGAAAAACAGGGAAAAAAAAGTCCAGTTGCCTTTTGCAAAAGCACCTTTGGGCTACTCTCTGCTGTTCTGTTTGGCTGAAAGACACATAATTAAAAATGGTAGAATCAGGAAGGGCATTACCGCTTGTGGGCTGCACCAAAAGTGTTTGTGAAAATGACTGGGTGTGTGCTAGCTCCTTCCCACCTGAGCCCAAGTTATCCGTTATCAGAATCAATTCTCTGTTTTGCATTTAGCCCCTTGGCATGGGCCATCTATTGCATGGGAAAGTTGCACCGCGGTGATGCGGGAAAAAGACTTGACACAGAGAAAATAGACAGAAGGAAAAACATAATCTCTCCTCACTTCCATCCACCTGTCCTTGGAATCCCAATTGAGATGGATTGCATATGGCAATCCATGTGCACATCTCCTCCCTAAATGTTCTCCCTAAGTGTTACACAAAAAGAGGGACCAGCAATTTCATTGTAGAATTTCCAATATAGTAGTGCCCAGAAGCTTAAAACTGAGAAGAAATAAATTATCTATTCAGCTTAATTCTAGGCGGAGCAGGTTTTAGACAATGCAAAGTAGGAATATTTTTGGAAGAAGAGGGATGAGGGAAGGAATTCAATATTAAGAGACCGTATGGCAATTTATTCAGTCTTGCCATCCCAAAATTTAAAGAAGGAAGGAAATTGTGTCTCGAGTCCCACAAAGCCAGTCTAGTTCAGAGAAACAAGATCTGTACAGATTTCACTAAGGAACTTTTAATGCTAGTCTAGGGTTTCAAAAGAAAAAAAAAATCTATGTGAGAAATTTGCCAGCCTCATTTATAAAGAGTTCATTCAGGTGGAGTCTCTTTGAAGGTTGTGAAATGTTTCTTAGCAGGTTTCTAGCCACCTGGGCTGAGTTGGTTGCTGATGGGATTAGCTGCCAATGGACTCCCCCCCTGCCTTGATTATTCTTGTCTACTCACCCTTTCATTCTTTTCAATCTCTTCCACATTCAACCAATTTTCACGCCTTCTCCCATTTTGGTACTACTCAGTGAATGCTAAATGGTCAGCTCCTTAAGAGATGGCTGTGCTTAGATGTCTTTTTATTCCCTTCTTCTTTCTTCCTTTTTTCTCAGAACTTGAAGCCTTTTTAAAATTATGATTAATTGCCAGGGAGAAACTGGATGTAGGGATGATACTTAGTCAACCTGACCTGCAGCTCTAGCTGTGAAGCATATGAAAACCAACAAGGGAACCCCATGGAATTAGATATGCGGTGAACCAAATTAACTTTCTCAGAGAAGCAAAGATGAAGCTTTTTAACTGACTGGCTCAGTCAGCATGCTTTGGTAATGCTTCGGTAGATTAACAGAAAAGGGAAAGGAAAATTTACTCTTGTACACACAAAGCAACTCTAACTATGGCTTTTCTATATATATATAAAAACCCAGTAGAATAGCTGGCGTACATGTTCTTTATATGCTCTGGGTCCTTCCTTCCTTTCCTTCCTTCCTTCCTTTCCTTCCTTCCTTTCCTCCCTTCCTTCCATCCTTCCCTCCCTCCCTCTCTCCCTTCCTTCCTTCTCTTCTTAAAAATGTCCATAACTTCTGGAGGCAAGCCATGTCACTGGTTGATAGGTCTCACTGTTAGCAATTTTCTCCTTAGCTCCAGGTCACTTCTCCTTGATTCGTTTCCATCCATTGTATGGATATTGGATATTTCTTAATGAAAGTGGTTCTGATGATTGATCCAGATTGGATCGTGCAACATTATCCTGGGACATGTATATTCATGTTCATTCATGTTTCTGGTTCTTTATCTTACATTCTGATCCTGTTATCATATATACAAACACCCACAAACTAAGATACATGCTTTTTTTTTTCCAGTTAAGAAAATGGTTTTAGTCCTTTACTTGCACACAGGTTTTTTCCCCTCCTTATGAAATAATAGAATTAATAAAGCTGTGTTGCAGAGCAAAATCTTATTTAGTTTTGCCATCAAATAACTTTTATTGCTGGGTCCATTTTTCCCGTGCTTTTGGATTCTGCAAACTTCCTTCCACAAGTAAACTGCAAGATTCAAGGTCTCAGCTTTATTTCTTACAAAGAGTTTGATTCTTAAATAATTAGCAAAGCATTGGTGGAAAATGGGAAGGCAATCCAATGATTAGATGGTCGTTAAATGCTTTGTTAAATATATCTTAGCTTCAGAGTCTGTGATAACCAAAATAATATTAGCACACCTATTGTCTGTGGTCAAAACATTATCTAGTTTCTTGTTGGTTAAAAATGAGGGGAGATGAATGAAAATTGCAAGGAAATTGTGTGGAGTTTACTCAGTTTGGAGATTAAAAAAATAAAAACCGAGCCTTTATAAATTGTTCAAAATGATGCATTTTTATGCGTCATAGGGCAAAGATTCAATTCAATTGAAGAGATGGAATGAGAAATGAAAACAGCAGGATTCTTCTTTTAAAAAAATAATAATAATAGTAGACTTAGTTGCCTTTTGCTTGAAGGGAAGAAGGAAGTGCTTTTACAACTCAGCTGAAAATGTTTCCAGGGAAAAAGAGGAACCATTTAATAAATGAGAAGATATTAATGAGGGTTTGAAACAGCTGAGTTATTAGATAGCTTTTTAAAAGGAAAGGGAAAGTAAATGGAAGAGCAAAAAGGAACTGATTTTTACCCAGCAGAAGAAAATAAATGACATATAAATAAATGGCTTTGCAAAGAAATATTTGCCAGCAAATATAGAGGGATAATAGATTTTTTTTTTTTAAAAAAAGTTCATTAAATTTGTTTTGGCCAAGAATACCAGTTCTGCTAAAATTGTATAGGGTTGACTGTACTATACAGCAAAAATGGGATAGTTGCTTCAGGCAGTATATCTTGAACAGTAGCAGTAGTAAATTTGGAATAAAACTTATGAAAGCTGCTCATTATGGATTCCGTGCACCCTATATATTAACTTTAATATATATTAACTCCTCTTTGAATATGGGGTACACTATTGTTTTTCTCTAGTATTGAGACTTTATTCAACACCTACACTAGCACAAATATCAGGTGATAAAATCCATGATTATTCTAGTATTCTTCATACGGTGTTTAAAAGTTGGTCTAATGGTGTTGCAACCAAATCCTTAGAAGTGAATTTGACCGTGACTCACATATCTGCTCTCATAACTCAATCAGGGCCTTAGTGAAAAGGGTTATTCTTGGATTCAAGTCTGTCTTGCAGTATGGGAAAACGTTGAACACACTTTTAAGGTTGCTGAGAAATGTGAGAATATAGTACACAGTTCCCCCCTCCCCCAGGCACGTGCATACTGCTCTCGGAATTGATGACTGGATTTCACATCACATGTGTCAACTCATAAAATATTTCTATGGTCTTTTTAGAGTTGCCAACAGAAAGGGAGAGGGGGAGCAGTGCAGCAGCTTGAAAAACGAAAGTGCATTCCATAAATGTTTTCAAAGATAGTAACTAGGTGATTGAAGTTTCTGCCGTGCGAAATTCTAACTGGAAAGCATGATTGATGACTCTTGGTTATGAATGTGTCCCATTGGAGAATATGAATTATGATACGCCCAGGGGGTGGCGGGAAAACCAGGGTCAAGGGTAACAATAAATTATGTGCCTCAGAGTCGGCTACACCCAGACAGTGGCGGACATGTTAACTCCCAATAAATCCTTTTGAAGTTTTGGAAGTTTGGCTCGAGACTCATGATTTAAATGCGGGTAACTGCTGGAATCCTGACAACATGATTTGTTTAAGGATAATTTATTTGATGCACTGGGACCATGGACAGAATACATTGAGCCAACTTGTTGAGACCATTCAGTCCTTTCCACATGCATTTATTCTCCTGAGAAGATTGGTTTCTCCATGTAGGGATGTTTTTTGGTTTTGTTTTTTGCTCCATTTGATTAGTTCTTCCTGCTGATGTTTCTCTCTTACAAAAGACCATGTTATTTTGGACAGTATCAAAGAAGGACAAAGAAGCCCATCCTTAACCAAATAGGTTAATTCCAGTGGTGGGATTCAAAAAGTTTTACCACCGTTTCAGTGAGCGTGGCTTGGCGGGCATGCTTTGCATGCACACGTGCACCAAATGTGCACTTTGCGCAGGTACAGAGGCATTCCAACTCACCTCCTGCAAGCCTGTTCTCTCCCGTTTGCTTCAGCAGCTGCTGCGCAGCAATCTGCACTTCAAATTCAGAGGATAAAGGTGAGTATGGGAGCCCAGGTGGGTGGGTGAGCCCGTGGGCCCAACAGCAGAATGGCAAAGAGAACCAGTTCAGTCTCCGCTGCTCATTGCCGCTACTGGCTTGGCAGAACCAGGCCAAACCGGTAGAATACCACCACTGGTTAAGCCCTGATTGAAATGACAGCAGTCAAAGGAGGAACTTTCAAATAGACGTCTCAGGATTGAA